GTCTTTCCGTCTCAGGACGTCACCTTTGACGAGTCCGTCCCCTTTTACCGTCTCTTTCCCTACCGCACTGCTCCTCGCCCCCCCCCGCCGCTCTTTCTCGCCCCAGGTCCTCCCCAGGTAGACCCCCTCCCCGCGCCAGGTCCTGCTCCTTCAGGTGTTTCTCAGGTAGACCCTCCCGTGCCTGCGCCTGTTGAGGTCACTGGTGACTCAGGTCCTACTGGGGGTGGTGCTGTCTTTGGGGGTGCTGAGCCTGGGGGTGCGGAGCTTGAAGATGCTGAGCCTGGGGGTGCGGAGCTTGGGGGTGCTGAGCCTGGGGGTGCGGAGCTTGGGGGTGCTGAGCCTGAGCGTGAGGAGCCTGGAGGTCCTGAGCCTGGGGGTGCTGAGTCTGGGGGTGCGACGCCTGAGGGTTCTGAGTCTGCTCCTGCGCGGTCTCCTTGGAGTAGCCGCCTTCGTACGCGTGTGCCTCTCACCTCACAGCAGCTGCACGACTGGTACGGTCGCCGTCAGGGTCGTGCTTCTGGAGCTCGGGGCTCTACCGCTGGAGGTACTTCTGCTGACACCGCTGGAGCTGGGAGTGGTGCTGGTCCCGGAGGTGCTCGCACTGGAGGTGCTGGAGCTGCTGGGGCTGGAGGTACTGCTGAGCCTGAGGGTGCTACTGCTGGAGACCCTGGGTCTGGGGGTGCTGTTGCTGGAGACACGGAGGCTGGAGACCCTGGGACTGGAGGTGCCGGTTCTGGGGGTGCTGCTGAGGGTACTGGAGCTGCTGAGGGTGCTGGATCTGCTGGAGTTGCTGGAGCTGCTGAGGGTGCTGGAGCTGCTGGAGGTGCTGGAGCTGCTGAGGGTGCTGGAGCTGCAGGAGGTGCTGGAGCTGCTGAGGGTACTGGAGCTGCTGGAGGCGCTGGAGCTGCTGCGGGTGCTAGAGCTGCTGGTGCTGGTGGCACTGCACAGCCGCGCCTGTTCTTTGCTCCACCGTCTCCGTCGTCTCTGCCACCGCCTGACTCCGTACTTCGCCAGGTTCTTAGCCTCCCGTCGTCTACTGGTCTTCCGTTACAGCCTGGCTCACCTCTGCCTGCTCCTTCTCCTTACGCTGAGCAGACAGGGGGCGTTACTGAGCGTCGTGAGCCTGCGTCACGTCCTGTCTCACCGGTCCGTTCTGGTCGTTCCAGTCGTCGTGTTCCTCGTCAGCGTCCGCCGGCTGTCCCCGGTCCTTCCCTTGTAGTCCGTCGTCCTTCCTCTCCTCCGCAGCGTGTTCCTCTGCCGTCCCCTCCGGAGTCTTCTCTGCCTGTTGTTCCAGACCCTGAGTCTGACCGGTTTTGTGCTGAGCGCTCTACTGTCACGCGTCTGCTAGCCACTGTTGTCACTGACCCGTCGTTTGAGTCTGCTGCTGCGTCTGCCTTAGTCGCTGAGCTTGTTGACTTTGCTGCTGCCTGTCGTCTAGACTACGCCGCTAGTCTTGTTGCTGAGTCTGAGTCTGTCTCTCCTCCGTCCGTCGGGGGTGAGTGTGCTCTTGGCACGGACGTCCTTGAGGACAGGCACGAGGACCTTGAGTGTTTTGCAGCCGCTGCGCCTCATCTTGTGTCCATGCTGCTTGCCCCTGAGGGAGACCCGGATGCACCAGACATCCCGACCCCGCGCTCTTACGCTGAGGCGATCGCGGGTGAGTACTCCTCTCAGTGGCAGACAGCCATGGATGCAGAGATGGCATCCTGGAAGTCCACAGGCACCTACGTCGATGAGGTTCCCCCTCCTGGGGCGAACATCGTCAGTGGCATGTGGATTTTCAGGGTGAAGCGGCCGCCAGGTTCTCCGCCTGTCTTCAAGGCGCGTTACGTTGCACGAGGTTTCAGTCAGCGAGAGGGAGTAGACTTCTTTCAGACCTTCTCCCCCACCCCGAAGATGACCACTCTTCGGGTGCTGCTGCACGTTGCCGCTCAGCGTGACTACGAGCTTCACTCTCTTGACTTCAGCACTGCTTTTCTACAGGGCAGTCTGCACGAGGAGATCTGGCTGCGCCGCCCTCCTGGCTTCACTGGGTCGTTCCCTCCTGGTACCCAGTGGAGCCTCAGGCGGCCGGTCTACGGTCTCCGCCAGGCGCCACGTGAGTGGCACGACACACTGAGGACGACACTTGCGGCTCTTGGGTTTGCTCCGTCGACTGCTGACCCGTCGCTGTTTCTGCGCACCGACACTTCACTGCCGCCGTTCTACATCCTCGTGTACGTCGACGACTTGGTCTTTGCCACTGCTGACACTGAGGCTCTCGCCCTGGTGAAGTCGGAGCTGCAGAAGAGACACACGTGCACAGACCTGGGTGAGCTGACAAGCTATCTTGGCTTGCGGATCACCCGGGACAGAGCACGCCGCACCATCACACTGACTCAGTCACACATGGTGCAGCAGGTCCTTCAGCGCTTCGGCTTCACCTGGTCCTCGGCACAGCCCACTCCTCTGGCTACAGGTCACTCGCTCTCAGCTCCACCTTCGGACGAGTCCGTAGAGCCGAGTGGTCCTTACCCAGAGCTAGTGGGCTGCCTCATGTACCTGATGACCTGCACTCGTCCTGACCTTGCGTACCCTCTTGGCCTTCTGGCTCGCTACGTGGCTCCTGGTCGGCACCGAAAGGTGCACATGGATGCTGCCAAGAGGGTACTACGCTACTTGTGCAGTACTTCGGGCATGGGGCTCGTGCTTGGAGGACGGAGCGACGTTGTCCTCACTGGGCACTCAGACGCTTCTTGGGTTGACGACCAGGCTACGCAGCGGTCGTCACAGGGTTACACCTTCAGCCTTGGTTCTGGTTCAGTTTCCTGGCATTCTACACGCTCGTCTTCAGTTCTCGGCTCCAGTTGTGAGGCCGAGATCTACGCCACGGCTATGGCGGCACAGGAGCTACGCTGGCTCACCTACCTGCTGACCGACTTGGGAGAGCGGCCTCGTTCTCCTCCAGTGCTGTACGTCGACAACAAGGCCGCCATTGCCTTGTGTCAGGAGCACAGACTGGAGCACAGAACGAAGCACATCGCTCTGCGTTACTTCCTTGCTCGAGAGCTGCAGCAGCGTGGCCAGCTTCGTCTTGCTTACGTGGCCACTCGGGCCAACACTGCTGATATATTCACCAAGGCGCTTCCGTCTGGTGATCATCAGCGTTTCTGCACTTTGTTAGGCCTTGTGCCCACGTTTCCTCACTTGCTGTAGGCTTTGATTGTACTGTGATTTATATGTATACCTGCATGTTTGCTCTTGTAGGTAGAGATCACTGTGCTGTTGTTGTTACATATATATCTCTGCATGTGAACTGGCCTTGTGGCCTGTTGCTTGTGCTCAGACTGCGTGGTGACGTTGTGATCCACCCTGAGCTTGCTTTGCACTTCCCGACTGGTCTTGAAGCGTGTGTCAAACAGAGGGTCACAAGCCTACCTGGGGTGGGAGGAGATAGAGTAGAAGCGGGGCTGAAGGCACGGCGCAACAGAGGCGAGAAGCACAGCGAGCGGTGGGCTACCACTAGGTACTCCGCTTTCCCACCGTCGTTGGCGAGGTACTTGGAACGAGCTGCCTCGGCGGGGTGCGATGCAAAGCGCGCCAACACTGCCAGCGCTGCGGGATGAGCACAGTGCAGTGGGTGGATGGCGTGGAAGCGGGGAGAGAAGGATGGCATAGCACAGGACGGCATGAAATGGTGGGAATGCGGAGAGAAGGTATGGGGAAAAGCATGTGGCAGAAACAGAGTCAGAGTGAAACGAGTAATGAGGGGTGTGGCGCATGGGGTATGGTTGCAGTGAGATGTGGTTGCATGCAGTGGAACGATGCGGCCATACTGCAGTTGAGTGCAGGGCAAGTAGTCGAGCTCCACATGCAGAGTGGAACGGTGCAAATGGGACGCCTGCAGCTCCTCACCATTGCCAGCCATGCCCTGCCTCACCATGCAGACACACACCACACGCATGTCATACACACGTCACACACACACCAGACACACGCCACACACATGCCACACACACGCCACACACATGCCACACACATGCCACACACATGCCACATACGCTACAAAGACATCAGACACACGCCAGCAGGCCAGCAGGTGGGAGAGGGGCAAACCGGGGGACAGAGGAGAGAGGGAAGGCAGATGAATCATCCAAGTGTTGCAATCAGACCATGAAAAGCGGTGCCAGAAAGAGCAGGAGGCTACCAACACACAGCTGGGAGTGCTTTTGTAGAAATATTTATCCTCTTTTACCTTTGCATGTAACTGAGATTGCTGGATAACCCAACAAGGTAGCTGGTTTGGGCGTACAACTAGATAACTAGAGCCTCCAACCAATAGAGCTTCCCAACTCAGCACAGTGGTGAGGCGCGCCGGCCCCACATGCCGCTGCGCAGCAACCATCACCTCTACCCCGGACCCCTTATCAAACCCACGCTTCCTCTCCTAGCCCTCGCCCTTGTCGCGACCCTTCCGTCCTTCTCCGTCGCGGTCCCCCCCCCCCGCGGGGGGCGGTGTGGGCGGAGCGGCGAGCACGAGTCTGGTGTTGCTTCCGCCGAGTAAATACGGCGCGCGATGCTTGGACGGCAGGTCGGTGGTGCTTTCGAGGTTCCCACCATGCGGTTCTGCACACCATCCATGTCATATTTTGCCACGTCTTACCACTATATGCCACCTTTCTGTTCCACTCCACATCAAATCACCTACTTTTTCCTCCGCTGCACGACGATCACATCCGGGTCACATTCGGCTAGTTCAAGCCGCGTGTCACGGTAACAGAGCGCGTCTGCCCGACACGAGGAGCCATAGGAACCGTTCTATTCCAGCAATCCACCACCGTTTTCACCCTTTCCTCCCTGATTACTCTTCTCTCTTCTTTCCTCCCGGCCTGCTTTCCCCTCCTTTTCCTGTCTGTCCCCACCCGTCCCTCCGCCCACTCGTCCCCGCGCAGTCCGCTGGGGTTCTACCACCGGCAGGGGCACGTCACGGGGAGCAACAAGTGTTTTTTGTTGACGCCTCAATGTTTTGCCCCGTCCGTTCCCTCGTGTCCCTCGGCCCACTCGTCTCCGCGCAGTCCGCCGGGGTTCTACCACCGGCAGGGGCACGGAACGGGGACGAACAAGTGGCTGATCTACCTGCAGGGTGGCGGGTGGTGCTACAGTGTCACGGGCTGCAGCTTCCGCGCAACCACCGTGCTCGGGAGCACCCGTTTCTACGTGCCGCCTTCTAACCCCGCGTTCGAGTCCACGGTATGTGTGACCTTTAATCGGCTAAAAAATCAACTCGGCTGGTGTAGTCCTCTCAGATGCCCTTCCCGGGCAGGGGAGCAGTGCTAACCGAGATACACGAGGTGCTCTCCTCGCTCTGTGACAAGCACTCGCTGCCAGCTGTCACTTACTGTTTTCTTGGCCCTACCTGCGCACTGCTGCTCCTCCTTCCCCCCGCCCCCACCCACCTTCTCTCCCTCTCAGATGCCCTTCCCAGGCCGGGGAGCCGTCTTAACCGAGATACACAAGGTGCTCTCCTCCCTCTGCGACAAGCACTCGCTCCCCCTCGCCCAGACCTGGATCCCTTCCTCCTGGGTCCGCCTCACCAAACCTCCCGCCGCTGCCGAGCCTGCGGCTTGGGGGCTGGCTCGGGGGAGCGCGGGGCCGGTAGGGGCGAACATGCGGAGCAGTGTGGGGGTGGGGTGGAGCATGCGACGAGAGGGCGCGGGGCGGGGAAAGGGGGCAGTTGACGTGGGGAGCCTACAGGAAGATGTGTTTGAGGTTTTCCATGTTGGTGGAGCGGGTAGAGGAGGAGAAGCAGCGGGGAGAGGAGGGGTAGGAGACGGGGAGGAGGAGCAGAGAGGGGAGGGAGGGGAGCAGCAGGGAGGGGAGGCACAAGGAGCAGAGGAGGAGCAAGGGGAGGAGGACGCAGTAACACTGTTTACAGCAGACATGCCGAGCTGTGTGGCAGACCTCCGCATGTGGGGGTTCCGCCAGGCGTGCTGCGACCACCAACTGCAGGCCGCCCAGGGCTGCCCCGGCCGAGCCATGACCTCCAACGCCCCCGCCTTTTGCGACGACCTGCAGCTCCTCTCAAAGGAGCAGTACCCTTTAGTGCACTATGCGCGCATGTTCGGGCTGCGAGCGGCTGTTGCCATCCGGCTGCGGTCGGTTTTGAGCAAGGAAATGGACTATGTTTTGGGCTGCCAACCAATAGAGCTTCCCAACTCAGCACAGTGGTGGGGGGCAATATTGCTGGTCAGTGGGCCTCACCTCACCACGCCTTGCAGTCGCCCTCTATGCACTTGTCGCTGCCTTGTCCCACCTCCGCCACTCGCTGTCCGCCTGCCCAACAGCGATCACAGGTGGGGGAATGATGAGGGGGTAATGGCGGGATGGTGGTGATGGTGATAAAGAGGGGTGATGAAAGGGGCGAGTCACACCAAGAGGAGACAGGCACCCGTGCCAAGGCACGCCTCTCCTAGGTGCTCTTCTTAGCTAACTTTATCGGGTTTAGGATCATGGCAAGGCAAGGCGGGGGAAACAACGTACCGAGGGCAGCGAGGTGTTTGTCGAACGTCTGGCCCATCTGCAGGCGACAGCACACACACAGAGAGCCAAGGGGGACGGGCGCGGGGGAGGAAGAGATGGATATGCTGTGAGAAAAGTGGAAGGTGAAGGGTGAGGGTAGGGCGGATAGAGAGGGGGAGGTGGGTGGGGGGAAGTGCGCAGCAGAGAGGTGGGTAGAGAGGGTGTGGTGGGCGGGAAGGGGGTAAGGTGACGGAAAGAGGGGGTCGGCTGGGAGGAGAAGAGGGAGTGAACATGAAAAGCGGAGAGGTGTGGGAGCGAGGGCAAACATGCACCAGTGTTCGACGCAGCGAAGGGCAGCGCCGCGAACCTCCCCTCCCCACTGCACCTCCCCCCACCACGTCCCCACTCCCCACAGCGCCCTCCCCTCCCCGCACCCCCTCGTCCACCTCACCTGGCGAACACGCGTCGTTTGTCGCAGCGGAGGGCAGCGCCGCGCGCTCCTCCGCGCGCTCCTCTGCGCGCACTTCCGCGCGCACTTCCGCGCGCACAGCAAATTACAGTCGCAAGCATGCCACCCGCAGCTCGTCCGTGGCAGCGGAGGGCAGCGCCGCCCACCACCGTCGCCACCTTTTGAGGCGCCTTGAATGACGCGAGCACGTCCAGGCGGACTAGTGTTGGTGCGTGCGCGCAGGTGCGTGCACTGCATGTGAGGGGGCGGGGGAGTGAGTGAGAGAGTCGAGGATAAAGAGCAGGTTGTGCGCCTCTGAGAGCAACGCAGTGCATGCACACCTGATCGCAAGAGGCAGATGTAGAGAAGCTGCGGCAGCGAGGAGCGGACGAGCATGACGCCCACGCCCTCCCCCACGGGAGCTGTTCCATACACAAACACCGCTATTGCCACCGCCACCGGCGCCACAACCCCAAACCTCCCGGGGGAAGGTGGCATCTGCACGACCACGGTGCAGCGCGGGGTCGGACGGCAGGTTGAGTGAGGGCATGCCCAACCAAGGGGGGGAGCTGAAACACGGGTTCAGAGGGAGGAGAGGGGGGAGCGGAAAGAGGGGGAAGCGGGGAAGGGGGTGATGGCAGCGACCATGAGGTCTGACGGTGCCCGGGGGAAGGCATGCCAAGACACCAAGACGCCAAGACACCAAGACGGCATACACATCCCATGCATGGTGGCACGAAGGCAGGCTGCCTCTTCTTCCTCTCCCGTTCCCCGTGAACACTCACTCCCATCCCACGTCCAACCTCGCTCACCCATCCCTCTCCCTCCCTCTCCCCATTTCCCCCATACCCCCAAACTCATGTCCCCAGATCCCCACTTGCCTCCACTCACGGCCATCAGCGTCAGTGGTAAGCCTACGAGTGGGTCTAAGGGGTGGCCCTTGCGGTGCGGACAACTCTTCACTCGCTGTCCCCTTTCCCCTCCCACAACCCCACCCTCCTTTTACCCTCCCTCCCTCCCCCTCCACTCACGGCCATCAGCGTCAGTGGTAGGGTCAAGTCAAGGAGCGAACCCAAGCGGTAGCCCTTGCTGCGCTTTCTTTCCTCCTCGTGCCCACCCACGCACTCGCCAGGTTCCTCACAGCGAGCGAGCGGGGCATGGTGGAGCAGAGGTGGAGCAGAGGTGGAGCAGAGGTGGAGCAGAGGTGGAGCAGAGGTGGAGCAGAGGTGGAGCAGAGGTGGAGCAGAGGTGGAGCAGAGGTGGTGCCCTTGCTAGAGCAGAGGTGGGCGTACTGCGGCGGCGCCACCAGGCCAGCTGCTTCCTCCCTGCCACCGCCCCGCCGCGGCCGCCACCCGTGGGCGCTCGTGGCACTCGTCCGCCACCCCGTGGCCTGAGACTGGCAAGCGGACGAGACCTGAGCGAGTGGCGTGCACTGGGGAGGGACGCGGGGGGGAAGCGGGAAAGGGTGTGAGAGGGGAACGTGAGAGGGGGGAAGGATGAGAGAGGGCGACAGATGCGGGGAAAGGAGAAAGGGTGCGAGGGGGGAAGGGTGCGGGGAAAAAAATCTGACAAATCAAACGGACAGGAATGGGAGGGAAGAAGGGCGGAGGGGAGGGGAGGAAGGGGGACGCTAACTCACTCACCGCCCTCCCCGCACCACTGCCACTCACCCGCACCCCGCCTCCCACTGCCACTCTCCCGCGTTCCCCCCGTCACTGCCACTCTCCCGCCTTCCCCGCATCACTGCCACTCACCCGTCCCCCTCCCCGCGCCATCGCCATTCACCGCCCTCGCCATCGCCGCTCACCCCCCCTCACTGCGCCATCTCCCGCACCGGTCACCAGCGGCGATGCCCGCATCGCCCGCGCCGCCTGCAGCCGCTGCGCGCCACGTCCTCCGCCTGCGGGGGAGAGCGCGCGCTGCGCTTGGCGGAGTGGCACAGCAGTCGGTGTGGAAGGGGGACGCGGCGGCTAGCGAGTGCGCAGAGGAGAGTAGGCGCGCGGGGGGCAAGGGGCGCGTGGAAGAAAGGCCCGCGCGGAGTTGCGAAGCTGGTGAGACTCAAACGTATGGACGAGAAATGAGCCCCCCTTTATCGGGTTGTTCACAAGCCACTCGCTCGCACAAGGCGATAGGGTCCCAGAATATCATTTTTGCCGAACACCCCACCTAACTGCCCTATATTTTGTCTTTATTGCTCTAGAACGCAAAGCACCACATTCAGCCGCATTCAAGCAAACTCCCTGAGCCCATTGTCACTCGCCATCTCACCTGGCAGAGATCACTTGTTACTTGATGCACTGCATTCCGCTTTGCTGCTATAACTCCTCCCACCCGAATCGCCTCTCCACGCGCGCATGCCTCTCGAGTTTTGACCCCGTTCCACTGCCGTGCTCCGCATCGGACCTCCGTGTGCCGCACCTCCGTTGATGCGCTGCTCTTTACATCCGCACTTTCTTCCTCCTTCTCGCCGTCACTTGCCGTGCTTGTGCGCGTGCCTCGTCCCGACGATCACCGTGCGCCGCTCACCCTCACCACAATGCGACGGTCTGGATTAGACGGGAGGGGAGTGAGAGGAGCCAACAGGGCTGGATGGACCGTTCTTTTAGTCGACTTACAGTGTGTGTGCGTGCGTGCGTGCGTGCGTGCGTGCGTGCGTGCGTGCGTGCGTGCATGTGCATGTGCATGTGCATGTGTGTGTATGTGAGTGTGTGATGTGCAGGCGCGGAAGACAGGGTCACAGGGCGGGATGAATGAGATCAGCAGCCTCAAGCCACAGCTGCAGCAGGCCCTGTGGCCTGTCAGGTAATGCTCTTGTCTCTCGCCTCGACTGTATTTGCTCTTGGAAGCGGAGGTGTGTTTGGGAAATAGGAATAGCGAGCAGGCGAGGGGGGGGGTGCTGTATGTCCTGCCTGCAATGTGTTGAGGGGGTGCGGGGAGAGGAGGAGAGTGGGGGGAGAGACACATGGCCTGAACATGAATGCGAAATGAAACAGAACGGTAGGCTAATGGAGAGAGGAAGAGGGGGAGTAAGGGGGAGTCGGACGAGAGATGACTAGATTAGATTTGAGTGGGTGGGGACCAGCGAGTGGGGGCGAGAGAGGAGGAGAGGAAGCAATGTGTGGGAATGCATGCAAGAGACGGTGGGAGGGGAGTCAATGACCCACGTGAGAAAGGAGATGAGGAGATGAGAAGGAGGACGCATGTGCAACGGGCAGACGAGCAACTATTAGGGCATCATACTGAATCAACATTTTTATAGGGCAACAGAGAGCGCGCCGCCAGGGAGGAACGAGAGATTCGCTTGTATGGGCCCGGTGCCCTCCCCTCGTCCAATGCTGCTGCCGCGCTCGCTATCACCGTTGACAGGGAGAAGCTGGGAGGTGGGGGCCGGAGGGGGAAGGGGAGGGAGGAGGAAGGAGGGCCGGTGCTGTGTCCGATGCTGCTGCTGTGTTCGCAATCACTGTCGATAGAGAGAAATTAACGAGAGGGAAGGGTGGGGGGAGCGGAGGAGAAAGGAGAAAGAGCTAGGAGCATCTGAACCGTGAAGCGTACAGAATGGCGTAACGCTAGTAACGCGTACTGCGAACAAAGCAAGGCTAGTAACGCGTACAGCGGGTACTGGTGCGCATGGAAGGCGCGCTGGCCGACGGTGACGACGAGGTCGCTCGCCATCCCCGCCACTTGCGCCCACTCGGGCTCACTCTCGTGCGACAGAAGCGACGTTCCCGCGTCGTTGCACGCCTCGTCGTCCATCGCAGGCATCGTCGGAGCAGGCGACGGCGAGGCGCGTGGAAAGAATCGGCGCGGATTAGATGGCGTGGACGCCGCGAAAATAACAGCGGCGAGGCATGGGGGAGGGCGAGAATGCGGCTGCTCTCTGCTGCTCTCTGCTGCTCTCTCTTGCTCTCTCCTGCTGTGTGCTGCTGTGTGCCGCTCAGTGTTTGCATTGCGCAGCGGAGATTCTAAACACTGAGGCCGCTAGATCAGACACCGTTGGAACCAAGGTCGTGCGGTCGATGCTCCACCCCGCTATCCTGTTGGTCGAGCAGTACAGTGCGGAAACTGCGTAACTCGCGTCAAGTGCGGAACCGTGAACACCAAGGAAAGCATGCTGTGCTGCTGGAAATAGGTGATAGCGATACACACGACGGCGCTTCCCATCCCCCCCTCTCTCCGCTATCGCGCGACCACGATAGACAAGTATTTCATTTATAACGCTGCGCGATTCAAGGATGGACGCGCTCCGAAATGCGAGGAATGGATGAACGGCTCCGATTGTACCGATCGAGCTCGCCCTGGCGGATCCTCTCGTCTGGAACGCGCAGATGCAGATCCCGCGGAGCAGCAGGCAATGGCTGGCTGTACCACCCGATCCGAACTCGCCATGGCATCGCTGCGCTCTGCGGTGCGATGGGACAGCAGCACCGACATTTCCGCCGCTACGGCTTTGACTACTATATCGACGCGACGCGAAGCCAGGTGAAATCTGCTTTCACGTTGTCGCCTTGGGAATGGAATAAGGTTTCCCTTGCTGCTTCCTCTTACTCTTCCTTGCCGCATCGAACCGACCTCGACTCAGGCGAACGCCCCCATTTGTCCACCAAAACGAACTGCTCGATGGCATATGGAAGCGGGGACGCAACTTCGTCCTCAGGCAAAGTTCTATCCCCAAGCCATGCCATCGCCATGCCGCGTTTTTCGAAGCACAGCGATGGCACAGCCGTCGCATTGCCGTTCAGAGGGGAACCTCTGAACAAGCCATTTGTTTGACAAAGGAGGGTTCGAATACCCTCCATTTTTCCCCTCCCGAACACACCTTAGATGTGCCCCCCGCGCATGACTTGGTCGTAGAGAAGGGCCTTGCATGGCGGGGGTTGTGTTTGAGCGGGGTGGGTTTTATTTGCGTTTTTTACCCACATTGAGCAATTTTTTGTCAGCGGGCAGCACAAGGGTCAGTGAGGCTAAACTTTCGCGCTATTGGGGGGAAGGTGGGGATGGACCTTCCCGATGCGGTTGCGTAATTTCGCCTTTCGGGCGCGCAAAGTTTCTGGAGCGGCATTACGCCCAAACCTCGTTTTCAAGAAACGATTTGCTGGCGAACAGCACCGATATTTGGGTTAAAAAACAAACAATATATGAACCAATAACATTAAATGGCATCATGTGCTGAGCTATTCAGCATGCAGACCATCATGTCGTTCTCAATGGAATTTGAAGTACCGTACACGTTGATTTGGTTTCCTGAATAAAACATGAGATCATATTTTCATGGGATTCTAAAAAGCAAATGCTTTACACAGCATGCATCTAACAAAGACGGAGCAGAAAAGCAAGTGACTACACCATGGTTTGGGGATGTACAGAGCAGATCGGAGACAGGGTGAAACGGTTGGTCCAGATCAAATGGAAATCTGTAGACACATCCAGCATGGTGCAACGGCACTCTTCACATCAAGGCTGCTACATGCACTGAGCAGCGTGGGGATGGGTGGGGCATTGTGGACATTCCCTCCTCTCCCCCTTCCTCCATCCCAGAATGTGGGCGAGTGGTGCAGTAATGATGTGAGAATCTCCATTCTCCATGCAATGGGGCTGACTGGTCAGGGTGGCGAGCCCTCACATGCCCGCACTCGCCACTTGCTGTGCTGGCACCTCTGGGGGCATCAGGAAACATGGGGGAAAGAGGAACAGAGAAGAATGGCTTTGTGAGACGATGCGCTATGAACAAGGCTGCTAACGGATGGAGGTTGCAGTAAATGATCGAGGTGTATTCAACTAATGGGCGTGTCAGAAATGGATCATGCATGCCATCCCCCTCCCCCCAACCCCCCCCCCCTTGGATATGCTGCAGAAATACGGAAGCAGCACATGCATGTCAAATTGTAGATGCGGATGGCAGTAAGTTGCGAGCAAGCAAAGGCAGCAGAGACAAAGGAGGTGTGTGCATTCATGCTATCAAGCTTTGTGACTTTTCAGTATCCAACAAAGTGTGACCAAAAACACACTCATGTGCGTCCCCTCTCCTTACACCAGAATCTCTTTCTGCTTCCCCCTCCCATCACTCACTGGAAACACGTCCGTCTTTCAACTCCTCTTGCGGCACCTACCATACATCTCTCAATCCTTGCTGCAAAATCCCACCCTCCACACACCCTCCCATCCCTGCCATCATCCCCTGGCCGCACACTCTCCCATCCCTCTTCCCGCCACCCACTCACCAGCACCACCAGCGGCAACAGCAGCAGCAGCAGCAGCGGCGCGCGCCTCAATACGGCGCTCGATCTCCGGGCGGAAGTGGCGCAGCAGGCCCTGCACGGGCCACGCGGCGGCGTCCCCGAGCGCGCAGATGGTGTGCCCTTCGATCTGCTTCGTGATCTCCTGCAGCATATCCACCTCCTCCATTAGCGCGTCGCCCACCTTCATGCGCTCCAGCAGCTGCCACAGCCACGGCGTGCCCTCCCTGCACGGCGTGCACTGCCCGCAGCTCTCGTGCTTGTAGAAATACGACAGCCGCGCGATCGCGTCGACTACGTCCGTGCTCTTATCCATCACGATCACCGCAGCTGTGCCCAGCCCCGACTGCGCCGCCTTCAGCGCGTCGAAGTCCATAAGAACGTCGTCGCAGATGGGTTTTGGCAGCATGGGCACGGACGAGCCGCCCGGGATGATCGCGAGGAGGTTGTCCCACCCGCCGCGCACGCCGCCCGCGTGGCGCTCGATGAGCTCTTTGAGCGGGATGCTCATCTCCTCCTCCACCGTGCACGGCTTGTTCACGTGCCCCGAGATGCAGAACAGCTTCGTGCCGCTGTTGTTCTTGCGCCCGAACGACGCGAACCACTCCGGCCCGCGTCGCAGGATCGTCGGCGACACGGCGACGGTCTCCACGTTCGTCACCGTGGTAGGGCACCCGTACAGCCCCGCGTTCGCCGGGAAAGGCGGCTTCAGTCGCGGCTTGCCCTGCTTGCCTTCGAGCGACTCCAGCAGCGCGGTTTCCTCTCCGCAGATGTACGCGCCTGCGCCGTGGTGCACGTACAAGTCAAAATCATACCCGCTCCCGCACGCGTTGCGCCCGAGGAATCCCTTCGCGTACGCCTCCGCGACGGCGCGCTCGACGGCCTTGCGCTCGTTGACGTACTCTCCGCGGATGTAAATGTACCCGTAGCGCGCGCGCATACCCACCCCCGCGATGAGGCACCCTTCGATGAGCTTGTGCGGGTCGTGGCGCATGATCTCGCGATCCTTGCACGTGCCCGGCTCACTCTCGTCTGCGTTAACCACGAGGTACGACGGGCGGCCATCAGGGTTCACCTTCGGCATGAAAGACCACTTAAGGCCGGACGGGAACCCCGCGCCGCCGCGCCCGCGCAGCCCGGATTTCTTCATCTCGTTGATGATCCAGTCGGTGCCTTTGACGACGAGGTCTTTCGTGCGGTGCCAGTCGCCGCGCTGCATCGCGCCCTTAATAAACGGATCGTGCAGCCCGTACAGATTCGTGAAGATCCGATCCGCATCCGATAGTCCGCCGAAAACGGTTTTCTCTGGCGGGGGAGGGGGGGGAGGCGGGGCGGAAGCGGGTGGCGCGGGGCCGGATGCGGCGGGAGCGGCGGGAGCGGCGGTGGAGAGGAGGCGGGAGGTGGTAGCGGCGGCGGCGGCGGCATGGCGGGAGGGACCTCGGGACGAGGAGGACGCGAGGCCCCTAAGCGCCGCGCGCGTGACGTTATGCATGACGGCAGGCGACGTGGCGGATGTGCGAATGAAGGTGGCGACGGGGCGGAGCGGAAAATGGAGGACCGTTTTAGGGAACTAGCGGCGAGGCGAGATCATCGGCAGAGCCTAGCTAGGGAGAAAATGGGCTGACGAAAAAACAAAAACACAAGGAACTAGGTTTTGGTGTGGGCGAGATGAGGTGGGGTGTGGTTTGGATGGGTTCGCTCGTGGTTGGGATCATGAACTGATGGTTTCAAGCTTGGAGGAAAGAGTGAAGCGGCGAGAGACGTGAGCGGCAGGGGGGGTAGCCGTGGATGTGGAGGAGAGCGAGTATCGAGGGAAGAGATCAATGCCTCATATTGTAAATGTACAGTATGACATACGGTACGTAAAAATGAAATTTGAAGTTTTATATTGCACTTGGGACATTCCACATTCCACAACAGCAGGAAACCGCACATCACTAGCATGCTACCAATATTATTCGTCCTTCGGGAAAAAACTGGCACAACAAGGCTTAACACAAGCATATCACAATGCCATCCATAAGGGAATCACCCTTGTTCAACCAGAATCTTTTAACGGTCTAACAAATCCTTCCCTTTCCCTTCTGACGGTGAGTATTCCTGTTCGAGTCAGGCGTTTCTCCCTTGCTGCTTCGCAGCAAAAGAGCATGTGTTAATCGGGCCTAGTCCCTGGGTGTCAGCGGAGTTGTGTCAATCGTCATTTGTTAATAGAAGCGCCGAGCCGATGCACTGTTGACGAGCCGTGGTAGTTGGCACGTGTGGGATGCAGCAGATGCGCGAGCAGCTCTAGTCCGTCCACTAGAGAGGCTCCAGGGCATGTAAAGAGGGCGTGGTGGCATGCAAACAGCATGCCTCTTCTGGCGGCTGGTAGTGTGTCCAAGCCAGGTAGACTGGCATTCAGACTTGCCTGTGTGTGTTAGGAGGCGCAAGGGGGGAAGCAGGCACAGGAGAATGGGAGTTAGGGTTGTTCGTCAAGCACGCTTTTGTCAGAGGGACAATGTATGGAAACAAACAAACACATGCTATAGAGCATGCATCAACCCGCAACCCACCAGCCACTCAACCACACACAAATACACATGCACAGTCCCAGTCCCAGGCACAATCACGCACACACAATGACATACACACACACACACACCCACCTCGCTGATGGAAGGACCGTGGTGGGGCAGCAGCAGCAGCAGAGCGTCAGGAGCGCTGTCCAACACATGCTGCCACTGCACTGCCTGTGCACTGCCCCCTGCCTCCTGTGCCACCACACCACTGCCGCCTGCCAGTGCCACCATGTCCCCCACCCACAGCCCTGGCACCACCACTGTCTCCTGCTTCTGCTGCTGCTGCTGCTGCTGCTGCTGGTCCACAGGCTCTGCAGCATGCTTTGGACCCGCCTCATTGGACTCTGGGCGCAATGAGGTGGGGTGGGATGAGGGCAGCAGCACCACTGCTACCCGCACAGTAGGCTGCCCCGCCACTGCTGCAACCACGGCTCGAATGCGTGCTCTTAGCACAGACACCGAGACGCTTGGCGCACGTGTAGCGGCAGCAGAAGCAGCAGAAGCAGCAGAGGCGGTAGAGGCAGCAGAAGCGGGGCAAGTGATGGCGGGATGAGCGTCCAGCATATCAAGGACGTCTGCAAGCTGGGAGGAGGGCACAGGGAGAAAGGGAGCAGGCAAAGGGATGGAAACAAGGGAGGGGCGATGTGAGATACATAAATGGGGCCTCGAAAGAAAGCACAGGAGAGCACAGCACCAAATGTGGAGGACACGGGGGACAGTTAAATGGTTGTTTGGGGAGGGGAATGGGGGAAGGGCGGAAGGGGGGGGAAGGGGTGGCAGTGCTTGCTTACCGATCGCGGCTGAAGTAGAGCCACTTTTGAAGAAAGGGAGGCTGCAGAGGCTTCCACTGCAGGCGCAGCAACAACCTTTCTCCCGTCCCGTGCGCCACCACCCTTTGTTTCCCCTGTACCCAGTTCTACACCCACCCCCTCCACATCCTGCGTGCACACCAGTGCCCCATTCTTCTCCGCAGCGCTCTCCTGCGCTGCCACGCATGCTGTTGCGATGCGACTGTGCTGCTGCGGGCGATGGTCGTGTGACGAGGACGCATTGGGAGCAGATGACGTGGTGGGGAGAGGCAGATGGAGAGGCAGAGGTAGTGAGTGCGGGTGGTAGAGGAGGGTGGCGAGAGGAGACGTGGGGAGGAGAGTGGAGAGCACAGAGGAGTCTGCCAGGTTGAGCACCTGCAATGACACCATAGGAGCAGCGTGTCGGAACGAGGGGGGAATGGGAAGGGGGGGACGAGGGGAGGGAGACGCACATTCATGGAGGTGATTAGGCTTCCAGGAGTTTCTAAAAGAGGTGACAAGGCTCAGAATAAATAAAGCAATTTCGGCACGTGGGGTGGAATTTGGATGATAAACAGAGAGAAGGGGCTGTCACGAGGAAGAGCAGCGTACAGTAACGAGCGTTGAGCAGGGAGCCCGGAGGGGGGACGGGGGAGGGGGGAATTGGATACGAGTGTGGAGCAGGAGCAGGGAGTGGAGTGGCATACCAGGTGGCTGAGCGGTACAGTAGATGCAGAAGAGGCAGCAGCAGCGAGGATGTGTCCAGAGAGTGCAGAGCACACGGCCATGCACTGCACCACTGCGTCCTGCTCCCCACCCTCCCCACCCTTGCTATCCTTTCCGACCCACCCACTACCCTCACTGCCAACAACCACCTCTCCCGCGCCCCGCTGCTCCCCTCCCACCTTCCCTCCAGGCGCCCCCTCCCCCAGCCCGCCCTGCGCCACGTCAGCGCCACTGCTCCGCACAGGGCAGGGCGCGAGCCCAGGAACGAGGGGCAGATGGCGCACCCGCAGCAGGGGCTGCTGCGGGGACGCTCGTGCACTCATGGCGCCCACTCGCACCCCTCCCCCCACTCCCGCCAGCTCCGAGGCAGCAGTAGGCGTATCGCTGCCCATGCTGCCTGTTCTGTATGCAGATGCAGCTGCTGCTGCTGCTTGTGTGGCATGGATGAGGGGAGCAGACGAGCGCGGAGGAGACGTTACAGCGTCACTCGACCCCTCAGGGGCTGTCATCCCGCCCGCTTCCCCTCTCCGCCTCCCCATCCCCGCCCACTGCTCCCCCTCGTTCTCCCCGCTGCTCCTTCCGCCCGTCTCCCCCTCGAGATCCCCCGCGCGCCTCTCACTCGCTGCCTCTGCGCCGCTGCTCTCGTCCCCACTCCCTCCGCCACTAACGCTGCCAATGCTGCTGCTGCTGCTGCTGCCGCTACCCACTCGTACAATCGCCATGTCCGTCTCCCCTTCTCCGCACGTATCCTCCCCCGCCTCCTCTTCCCCCACTACCGCGACTGCACTCCCCCCATATACCTCCCCCCATCCTCCCCGCGCGCCCCCTTCCAACGACGCGCGCCGCCACCTCCTCTCGTTCCCTTTTATGTCCCCCTCTCCCCACAGGTTCCCCCCGCCCTGCGCATACCTCTCCCCCTTCCCCCCCACTTGCGTGCGCGCCCGCCTTGGAACGTCCCCCATGCCTTCGCAGCTCCGCCTGCCCCTCCCCTCACTCCCGCGCTGCCCCCACGCGCCCTCCGCCGCCCCGCCCTCCGCCACGAGCGGCAGCGGAGGGGGGCGCGCAGGCCAGAGTTCGGAGCGGGTACGGCGCATGGGGGCGAGGGCGGAGGAGGGCGAGGGGATGGAGAGCAGGGGGCGGTACGAGGGGGAAGCGGCGTCCGCCTCCTCGCTCTCGCGGATCGTCATGCTCCGCGAGCCGCGTTCCCCCCACCGCAGTCCCCCTCCCCCTCCGCCTCCGCCTCCTCCTCCGCCTCCTCTGCAGTAATAGCCACGGCCTGCATCATCCCCGTTAGAGGGCGCGTCGCAGCTGGACCGCCGCGCGTCCCTGAAGCCGCTGCCGTCTCTGCCGTCCTCCGCGCCTCGCGCCCACCCCGCGTACCCGCGCAGGTCGCTCCGCACGCGCAGCATGCGGCTCGCGGGGACCGGCCCCTCCAGCCCCATCACGCGCATCTGCTCCGCGCGCATGCTCTTAATCCGCTCCGCGGCGCTCTCCATCGCAGCCGCCTTCTCCGCCGCCGCCGCCACCGCCGCCGCTGCTGCTGCTGCGACCTCGTCGCCCTTGCCCGTCCCGCTCATCCCTCCGCTGCTCTCTTTCCGCTCGTGCGTCGCCCCTGTAGGCACCTCACATACGCCACTGCCGCAACTGCCGCTGCTGCTCGTGCTCGTCGTGCTGGTGATGGGAAAGCCACCGCTCCCGTTCCCGCTTCCGCTGTCGCACGCGCTGCTGCAACTGCCGCTCCCGCTGCTCACTACCGCGCCTCTCTCGCCCGCCCGCCCCTCATCCCCCTCGCCCATTCTCCCCCCGATGCCGTAAACCTGCGCCCATGCGCGGAATCCGTTCCGCCGGTCCCTTTCCGCCCCGCCCCTGTAGTCCCCCTGCGCGGAGTCCCAAGCTACATCTCCGCTCTGCTCCGCGCGCACCTCCCGCCATCCGCTGCCCACGCCCCGCATCCCCCCTTCCCCCACCGCAAACGTCTCCGACCGTCTCAGCCACCCGCGCTGCTCCGCCATCCGCCCCCCCCATCCCTCCGCCGCGGCCATGCTTTCTCCGCCGTCCGCCGCGCCGCCCCATTCCCCCTGGCCTAGGTCCCTGCACTCCCGCGGTCTGGCGCACGGAGCAGCGTCGCGCGGGGTGGCGTAGCGCGGGGAGGCGCGCGGGGAGGCTAGGGAAATGTCCCAGCACCCGGGACACGCGGAGGAGCAGGCGGACGCGGAGTGCGGGAAAACGCGCGCGGATGGCGGCGGAAACGGCGGAAGGTGGGATGGCTGCGCGTTGCAGGGGGGAAAAGCGGGCGTGGGAGCGCCGGCGCGACGGGGAGTGGCGCAATCCGCGAGCAGCAGAGAGCTTTCGCTCCGCCGACGGCGGGACCACGGGGAGGGGGAGGCGCACGGGGAGGGGGAAAAGACAGAGGAGCAGGAGCGGCGGGGGGAAGACAGCGCGTCCGGCGTGCACGGCTCGTCTAACACTCTGTCCACCGCTGCCGCCGCCGCCGCTCCCGCCGCTGCTGCCGCCTCCGCGCCGGACGCCACCACAGCCGCCGCCGAAGCCGCCGCAACTGACGCTGCCTTGCTGGAAAACATGCTGGAGAACGAGAAAAGGCACGGAGAGGAGAAGACGGGAAGAGGTCAGGCGATGAGAAGCGGACATGAGGGCAACGGAAACGAGAGGAAGTGGGTGCACGCGACAAGAAAGGTGGTGGACCGGCGGCGTGAGTGAGCACGCATCTAGGCGCGCAAGGGGCGCGAGAGAGTAGACGGGGAGGCGGAGCGGACGGCCTTACAGCGCGTGCTGTATGACGGCAGGCGCGGCGCAGGGGTTCGACGCGAAGCACAGGTGCAGCTGCGACGCCACCGCGCCGCCCACCACCACGCCCTCCCGCCGCACCGCGCCTAAACCGTCCGCCCCCGCAGTCCCCGCCGCGCCCGCGAGCGGGTCCTTGGCGTCGCTGGGCGGAAAGGGCGCAGGAAGCGGGCGGCGGACGGCGGAGGGGAACGCGAGCTCCGTGGGGAAGCTGTGCGGTTGCGCGGGAGAGGGGGAAGCGAGGGGACGGGGCAGGGGGGGGACCATTGAGTGGGGAGCGCGGCACAGGCTGTGCGCGGGAGCAAGAGGCGGAATGAAAGGCGTATACGGATACAGCGAGCGGTAATGCGCAACGCCCGTATGCGCTGCTGCCTGCCAGTCGATATCACCCATTCAGCCCCCACGTGTGATCGTCCCATCCTTGCCCTCGTACGTGCTCATCCGAGCGCCCACCCTTGCGCTCACCCTTGCGCCCACCCTTGCGCCACCCACCCTTCCGCCCACCCGTGCGCCCACTCGAGCCGCTAAGTGAATGCGTTCCGCCGGGCCCCTGTCAACGCACCCATTGAGATCGGGGCGCTGAAGCGGCGGGGGCGCGGGGGGCGGCGCGTGGTGGTTGCACAGCGGGGTGAATTCCGCCACCGCGATGAGGCACCCGCGAATGGGCGCAAGAGAAGGGTCGAAGAGCGGCGACCCCAGGGACGGGCGCACCTGGCGGGGGTAAGGGGCGGGGGCAAAGCGCGCCGGGGAACACAGCCGCGCGGAAGGATGGCGGTAAGGACGCGGAGGATAAGAGCGGTACCGGGGGGGGGAAGGGGGGAGGTGTCACGAAGGCGGAAGGTAGGATAGGAGAAATTGAGCGCAACAGCGGGAAGGGGACGACGGCACAAGGGAAGGATGGCGCAAGGGAACGGCGCACTCACCAGGCAGTACGACGGCGGGGATGGCGCGTGCAGCTCGCGCGCCGTGAAGGGCAGCAGCGCGCACATGGGGTACTCCGCGCCGTCCGTGCCCTGCAGCGGGTAAAGCAGGGGGGGGGAGGACGGGACGGGAGACGGGAGAGATGCGCAATTTTTAGAGGGAATGCGCAACGGGAGCGCGGAAAAGAAGAGTGGATTGGCGCGAATGGAGGTTGCGGGGGGGAGAGTACGAAGCGGAAGAGGCGGAGGGGGGGGGCGCGCGGACCTGCAGCGAGTGCGCGAGGAACACGGTGCCCGCGGACTCCGCCAGCACCAAGCCCCCCGCCGCGGCGAATGCGCGCAGGCCGAAGCGGAGCTGGCGGTTGGCGGAGAGGCGAGGCGCGAAGGGCGCGAGGCGGCCGCCCGGCAGGTAGACGGCGTTGAGGCGCGGCGGAAGGGGGTCGACGAGCGGCGAGAAGAACACGAGCTCCGCTCCCGCCTCTGATCATGGGGGGAAACGGTCATGGGCGGAAAAGGTCAAGGGGGGCAACGGGGAAACACATGGCAAGGGAGGATGGGAGAAGGGGGAAGGGGAGGAATCAGGGCGAGAGAGTGAGTGAGGAGGGGGGAGGGGAGAAGAGAAGAGGCAAAAGGCGCAAATGTTAGTGTCACGAACCGCTCACCCTGCAGCAGCAGCAGATTCTCCTGATACACGAGGCAGAACGCCGCGTCCCGCGCCACCCCCATGCGCACCACCTTGCGCCGCCCGCCCGCACCCCCCGGGGAGGAGAGCGGAAACGACGGCGGAGGGAGCAGGATCGAGGCGCAGGCGGAGAGGAGGCGCGGAATGTGCACGTAGTGCGATACAGCGTCGGCTAGCGCGGAGAATAGATGGGGCGACGGGCCGGGGGAGATTGGCGGGGAGGACGCGGAGGAAAGGGAGTCGGGGAGCGGGGAGGAGAGGAGAGAGGACGGCGGGGAGTGGGTGGGGGAGGATGGCGAGGAGAGGATGGCGGAGAGCGAGAGGTGCGGGAGGAAGGGCAGCGCGCCGATGAGCGGCAGGCGCACGTCGGCGGCGGAGAGCGCGTCCCACATCCACTGCGCGTGCGCCTCGCTCTCCACCTGCGCGCGCCCAGATGCGGGCCACGGGAATGAACAGCAGTGGGGGAGGTAGGGGGAACGACACGGGGAAGATAACAGGAAAGGGTTAGAAGTGAGGGGATAAGAACACGGAGCGACAACAGCCAATCATTGCACGGAAGTGCACATGGCAAACATAACTCAAAACTGCGAGACAGGAGACCGCCCCTGATACCCGGATAACAATCTCCGCAATATCCTTGGCCCATGCCCCTTTAACGGCTATCCTCACAATCAGAGAGCACTTTAATCCGCGTACCATATTGAGAAGCATCCCCGCGAACGTGAGAGACGGGTCAAAGGACGTGAATCCGTGGATGAGCGCGGCAGCGGAGCGCACGGCGGAGCGGCCGTCGAGGAGCAGCAGCACGGGGAGCCCCCCTAGCAGCTTCGCCATCTCCGCCGCGCTGCCCGTGCCGTCCGCCCTTCCGCCGTCCCACCCGTCGAACACTCCGCCCGCCGCCTCCACCACCGCTACATCCGCGCCGGCCGCGCGCCGGTTAAACAAGGCGCGAGTTAGGTCCCTGCGGCGATGAGATGCAAGCACGCGGGCGATACGCAACGCATTAGTGACAGAAGCGGTAGACGGACCCGGAAGTCGAAGTGGTAGCGGAAGCGACAACACCTGCAACCATGCGGCCACATGCATGCGCGCCCTGCTACTTCTATCCGGGATCTCCCTTCGGTCTTGCTCCTTCCAACAAGCTGCTGAAAGCTATTACTCCTTCACCAATCTTGGGCCGTTCTGCGCGGATCTTGGGATGGTTGACAGTAATTAACTACGACTTGGATGTGCGCCATTAAAAAACTGAATCTTATCCCCCCGGTCCCTAATGTAGCCCGCCCATGGCGTACCCTGGAGCCATCCATGCGTCGAGATTGATTGGCTCTCGACCGCACGCCGCCACGTAGGGCGCCGCGTCCAGCGGCTCTGCTCATGCAGCAAGCAACACACGCAGACAGCACACGGAGAGTGGTTATGAGGCGCCTCAAAGGCACAGCACGCAGCATACGCTGACATGTAGATGCAGATAAGCGCACGAAAGACCGGACGACAATTGGAACGATATAAGTATGGGACAAAACTGGAGGCTAGGTTTACGAAGAAGTGCGGAAGAACGGAGGGGATGAGGCGAGCAGCACGAGGCTGAGAGAGTGGGGTTAGAGGAAGGGGTTACCTGGTCCGAGTCGCAGAGGCTGCACCGTGAGGCCTCGACGCCGCAGCGCCGCCAATAGGCCGAGGGTGAACCAGGTGCATCCCACGCCGCCATGAGTGCCGGCTACCACTAGCGCCCTCATGCCTCGCGACTACCTCCAACCCCCTCTCAACCCTCACCAACTGAGGTGTTTCTTTATAAGAGCCTTTAATATCAGTTGGTATTGATCTATAAAGCGCTTTACGATCAGCTAGAAACTTGTCTACAGTCACGTTGAAGCTTAAGTGCTGCTCAACAGATCCAGAACTGGTTAGAAGACGCAGGGAACGAGCGGGAAATCGCATCAGAGAAGAACCGTGCGGAGATGAGGAAGATGCCACCTCTACTGGTCGGCCTGAAGGTGCTAATAACGAGTTTAACGACGAACACCGACACGGGTGTTTCGAGCGAACAGGCGAATCCGCGTGCTCGAAACGCTGGCAGCACCCAGATGAGAACAACTGGGGGAGCTGATTACCTCACTAGGCACTGATTAGACGTTCTATGTCCCCTTCTCCGCTAAGCCTGTGGCAGTCCAGCCTGGGTCCATGCACTCATATATGTGTTGCCATGAATCCTAACCTCGCCCTGAAGCACAGGCGAGTTGGTTTCTCACAGTTTCATGCTGGGAGAATGTCCGACACGCGGGGCATGGTGGTGTCTTCATTGGCTGCACAAGCGATGCACGGCGATGCAATGGCAGCCGTCGAAACGTGCGACATGTGGACGAGGAACCATGCACTTGGCCCCCTGCGGTCGAGAGGGGCGCAGCCATACTGGGAGGGGCAGAAAGAAATCCTGGTCGGAGCACAGCTGAAATGTGCAAACTGGTCCGGGGAATGGCTGCCCGAGCAGCCAAGCTCAGTGAGGCGTATCTTTACGGGCACAACGGGCTAGCCCGAAATAATGGGGCTAGTTTCTATCGCGGGAAAATATGCCACAAGTAACCAACTTGGGACTCGATAACGTGAATTGTACAAAAAAAACGCGTACGGTCACTGTATCGGGTTTTCTGACAGGTTTGGTAAGTGGGGTCACGGATTCAGTCACTAAGAACGGGTAACAAATCACGCGAATGGTCACACATGTAACTCCCGCCAAAAAAACTTGAAACTCAACAGAATTCCCACTCGCGCCCAACCAATCTGCTAACTTCTAAAAATACTAAAACCCAATCGGAATCGGATGCAACTTGGGAACGGATCAACCCTAAACACCTGGCGAGTTACGTGTTTAGGGTTGATTCATCCGAAAATGCATCCAGGTTCTTTTTGGGTTTCATTTCGTTTTGGCGGGAGTTTCATCTATGACCATTCGCGTTTTTTTTTTTACCATTTGATGGTGACTGATTACGTGAAACGTTTTATCAGTCGCGTGAAAACACCCTTTGCAGTGACCGTACCTTTTTTTTTTTTACCAGAAGTGTAATGGAGTCCCATGTTGGTTACGAATGGCATATTTTCCCTTCTATCGCTATCCCAAAGGGGACAATCCGCTAGTCCAATCACGGGTTCTCCATCTCCGCACAGAAAGGCCTCAAGATCGGGGCTGTTCAGTGACGACTCCTACACTGAAGGCACACTTCAAAAAAACACAAAAGCTTGTGACGATTATGCCAACTGTACGCTAAGCTTGACTGTATTTTTTTCAAACTGCCCGCTGATTTAGGCTGTAAAGCACTGTTGGCTCCTCCTGTCCCCAATGTTCACAAGAGTGTCTCGTACTGTATCTGAAAAATCCCGTTGCACACTTCTATTGCGGCGCACATCTTCAGGAGAGCGGATCGTGTGGATAAGGCACTTACGGCATCAGAGTAAATTCCTTTGTTTGCCGCCACTCCAAGGTCATAAGAGACTGACAGGCAACAGAAGTCGCAATCTTTTCTCAACATCTTGCGGAGCTCACTCCAATGCAAAGGATTCCTCCAGTGCAAGTTCTGTGAATTCAGTGCCCGCCAAAATCATCTAAGCAAAATTGCGCCAAAACCATGCTTCCGAGATCTTCTGGAAATGATTGCGGGAGCAAAAACGACTTCCCAGATTCTTGCTCCCTGTCTGTCGGAGAGGAATGTATCCCCTGCTTCACGGAAGGCCATTCATCAAGCATGCACCTTGTCATCAAACAAGGCAAACGTCATCCTCTTACGTGAGTGGCGCCTGCAACCACAGGACAACTGTCCCCCATAAAATATTCACCTTCTCCAACCCACATTCACTCGAACTGGTTGAGATAGGAAAGCCATATATCGCATTATGGTGAGGTGTACTGTATGGCTTAACTGCTATTTCATACTGCTCCCAACACGATCCATGAAATGACCACATGCACTTCCGATACAACTACGTTCCTCCCTTCTCACCATATACGCTGATGGAGTTTTATATAACGGCGCCAACAACGGGCTCCTTATCAATTCGTACATAATCTCAGGAATCGCGACTATCTGTTGGAATAGCAAAAATGTTATACTGGCAAAGTAGTAGGCTTGTCATGTCACGGCTAACAAATCTTATTTGTTACAATCCCAAGTGGGACTTAGCGAAGGATCGCTCAGGGTTGATCTCAGGGTAGTGTTGCAGCGGAAGGTTGAATCTCAGGTCAGAGTGAATGTAAATTACTGAGTTGATAATGTCAGAATAGTGGCATAAGTAGGTAGTTGGGTTTAAGTGGGCCTAGGCTTAGTAGCCTAGGCCAAGGGAGTCGAGCTAGTTTGTGCCACGGAGAGAGAGTCGAGAAATGAGAGGGGAATGATGTTCACTATAGCACTAGGGTACATATAGCAAACAAAGAGGTGCACCACCTATAAAGTTAATATCTACACTACAGCTAGAACTACATGCAGGTATAAGAATATAATTCTGACATCCCCCCGTAACTGCATGCAGGAATAGCTAAGTGCAGAACACAACCTGCAGGGGTACACCACAGACAGAGAAAACAGCAACAGCAGGCAAGGCAACAGAGCAGGTACAGCAGCAAAGGGGCAGGCACTCCTGCCACCCCTTTACTCTCCTCCCCCCCCCCCCCCCCCACTTCAGGAGGGGCGGCAGGGAGAGAGAGGAGGCGGGCTGGCGCTGGCTGGTCACCCCCTCCATCCCTTCACCCTCCCCCCCAGCGGCAGCTGCAGCAGTGGGAACGAAAGGAGGAGGAGGGGAAGGGAAACACACCACCCATCACCCCCACACCCGCCACCCCCATACCCCCCCCCCCACGGCTGCAGGGAGACGAAGGAGGAGGGGGGGGGGGGGGGGGCGGGGATAAAGCAGCAGAGCGGCTACAGAGGGTCGGCGCGGGTAGGGCAGGGGCGGCTGCAGCGAGTGCAGGCGCGGGGTGAGGTAGAGGCGCCGTCGCGGGCGCCAGGGGCGGGTCCGCAGCGGCTCAGGGCACCGTTGCGGGCGCCAGGGGCGGGTCCGCGGCGGCGCAGGGCACCGTCGCGGGCGCCAGGGGCGGGTCCGCGGCGGCTCAGGGCACCGTTGCGGGCGCCAGGGGCGGGTCCGCGGCGGCGCAGGGCACCGTCGCGGGCGCCAGGGGCGGGTCCGCGGCGGCTCAGGGCGCCGTCGCGGGCGACAGGGGCGGGTCCGCGACGGGCAGAAAAAACGTCACGCGCCACCCGGGCGTGGGACAGAACGAAAATCGCCACGCGCCCGAGGCGCGCGACCGGAAAAACAGCAGCGGAAGCGTGAGGCTGGCCCACAGGCCAGGACTTAACAGCCTCTGATACCATGTCAGAATAGTGGCATAAGTAGGTAGTTGGGTTTAAGTGGGCCTAGGCTTAGTAGCCTAGGCCAAGGGAGTCGAGCTAGTTTGTGCCAACGAGAGAGAGTCGAGAAATGAGAGGGGAATGATGTTCACTATAGCACTAGGGTACATATAGCAAACAAAGAGGTGCACCACCTATAAAGTTAATATCTACACTACAGCTAGAACTACATGCAGGTATAAGAATATAATTCTGACAGATAATAGCATGCATACATCGGGTTTATATACCGTAATCTCCTGGATAGTAGACCCTAGGGTCTTATGTAAAATTCATAAAAATAAAGGGGGGGGTCTTGTCAACGGCACACGATTGTATAGTACCCGGGTCTTATTAAATTGATATTATTTTTAAAGGTGTAATCGAATGCCTCATTGATGAGGATGCTTGACTTTTTTTTGTCCCGGTTGTTTGGGCCGCACATGTGCGGCTTCTGCGATGTAGCCACATCACACAGGGAAATCAGATTGTGGCCTTCTCATTGGCCGAAATTGCACGTTACCACATTCCAGCCTTGCAATATGAGTTTCGTGGCTCGTCATCGTTCATCCCACCTCGACAGTCTGACACATGCACGGCTCGAGAACAGGGGCTGCACGATTGCCCATGGAGCAACCATCAATCCCACACACATCAGAGTCCTCCTCCGCCTGTTTCTTCATCCCCGCACGACACTGATTTCTGCTCGGCAGAGTGGTGCGCTTAGGGCCCATAGCTCTGAGATGGTCGTCTTAAGATGGCTGGAGGAAGTACTTAGAGCACTAGCTATAGGTGTAAGGTATCGTTCACGATGGTGACGTCTCCAGATTCAGGGATGTCACACGCAAGGCGCCCTCGTCCCACTAACGCACATAGAGCATCACAAGGTAGAGTTTCACCCCGGCCTGTTTTGCCAACGACTTCACCCTCCTCCAGCGATCCTAGCGACAGTTCCCATGGCGTCCGCCAACCGCCGCTTCCTAGAGTCGTGATCCCTACTTTTCCCGAGTCTAGTCGGCCGCAAGGCATGAAACGAAGAATTCTAGATGCCGCACCCCCTTCGCCTCGTCATAGGATGACGAAACGGTCCCGTAACGCTTTTACCGCTAAGGAGAAACTGCACTGGCTGGCCATGTTGGAGTCACAGCCAGACCTCAGCATCCGAGGCTTGGCGAAGCTCGCCAACGTGCAACCTAAGCAAATCCGCGAGTGGAGGCGACTCAAGGAGCGTCTCGAGGTCGCCGCTGGTTGTCGCCGACGTCTTAACGGTGGAGGGCGTAAGGCGAAGTGGCCCCTGATGGAGAGGGCGGTTTACCGCCAATTCTTGGCGCACCGTGCCAAAGGATTGGCGGTGTCGGTGAGCC